ATATATATATATATATATATATATATATATATGCCTGTATCTACATAAAAACACGTGCATTCTTCGACTCAAATGCTCCTGTATACCGATTTCCTTAGGGCTATCTTTTATTTTACAAGTGCCAAACGATTTCACTTTTTATTAATCTTTCTTCCAATTTCTTAATTCATCTGGAATGATCGAATTTCCTCCATCTGGGATCAAAAGAAAAAAGAAAGGTAACAGGTGTATTTTAGTTACAAATCCTTACATACGTACGAGTAAGTATATTTCAGGGTAGTTTGAAACAATCATGACGTTAGGTTCGTTAATTTCTTGATCAAAATGGATTAGTACGTTTGTCTCATGCTTCATATAAGTATCTTTTCTCAGACATTGCTTAGCCAAGTAAATTGCGTATTTACGTACGCAACAATACACACACACACACACACACCTATCGGCACGACCTCATCGAAAATACATGCAACAACATTTATCACAGGCCTAATATGTAAAAAGGTACTTGCGAGAATTGCTCTCTAAATACAGTCTGTTGTGAAACTGCTATCAACCCTGAGCAGTCGGTGTTCGAATCCATGTTTAGATACACAAGTTAAGTAACCAGTTCCTCTCTGGAAGAAAGTTTTGTTTTGTTTTTTTTGGGTTTTTTTTTTCTCAAACTCCAAGTTTACTGTTGTGTTTGTAAAATCTGAGATTCCTTCAATTAAGAATTGTGTGGCGTTCACTTGTAAATCATTAAGTAACATGTTTAATTATAATTCCCAACCTGAAAAGGCCGCTTATGATTTAATCACTGCCCACCTTAACTGGTTGTAAATGTGCTTATTGAGAGGTGTCAACGATTATTATTAAAATGGAATGTGTTGCCTGATGTCCTATCTTGAGTGCTGATTTTGTGAGGTCTGCTATTCTATATTCATAATTAGAAAAAAAACATTCATTCTAAATTATAAAAAAATATGACGTTTCTAAATCTTATAGATTCTAATAAGCAGAATTAATTGATTCTGAACATATCTGGATTGAAAAGTCAAATTAAAAATCAAATCAAAATTAAGCTATAATATACGTTTGCCCATTTGAAAGCAGTACATTTAAGTAATTGTGAAATCACCGTAGGTTAAATTTAACTTACTAAATTCAAGTAAATGAGCTTGGTTTTAATTTTTAAACCATGCTAATATATATATATATATATATATATATATATATATATATATATATATATATATATATATATATATATATATATATATATATATATATATATATATATATATATATATATATATATATATATATATATATATATATATATATATATATGTATATATATATATATATATATATATATATATATATATATGTATATATATATCTGTGTGTGTGTGAATAAAAAGAGACAAGAGGAAAATCTGTTCTTAACCGACGCGTTTCGTCCTTTGAAAGACTTTATCAAGACAATGTGATGAAACCCGACGTCTAAGAATAGTTGTCCGCGTGTCTCTTTATTTTGTATCTCTACAGATACACTACCTGAAAATAATTTACACACAGACATGCACACACAAACATACACACACACACACACACACACATATATATATATATATATATATATATATATATATATATATATATATATATATATATATATATATATAGATAGATACATATACATGCTAACATAAATATACACAAACCCATTATCAGAAATATATATAAAAGGAACCCAATTATGAATGTATATATAAATATATATATGTGTATATATATATATATATATATATGTGCAGGTGTGTGTATCGTGTCACAGAAATATATAAATAATTATGCTAAAGTAGTTATATAGAAGGGGCTTATATAATATCTCTCGATTGTATGTATTTATGAAAGGTGGTTTATACATATATATATATATATATATATATATATATATATATATATATGTGTGTACAGACATAGATGTACACGACGCAACTGAACGCGCGCACACACACACACACACACACACACACACACACACATATATATATATATATATATATATATATATATATATTTGGATGTCCTGAAAGTTACTCATCACGACCCACTTAACAAAATCTGAGCACATATCATAAATTTTTGGTAAATTTTGGAGTTTCCTGGTCAGTCCCAGAACCTTACAACAGTGATATATATATATATATATATATATATATATATATAGAGAGAGAGAGAGAGAGAGAGAGAGAGAGGGGGGGGAGGGAGAGAATAGGTATTGTGGACGGAAGTGAGTCTTGCCCAAATCATTACATTTGGCAAGAAATTTTGCAATTTTGCTTTAGTTACGAACTTTTCTATATTTAGGAATCTATTTTATCTATCTATGTATATCTATCTCTCTCCCCCTCTCTCTTTCATATATATATATATATATATATATATATATATATATACAGTATAAATAAATATTTACATATATATTTATAGTATTATATATATTATGCCATATATATGTGTGTGTGTGTGTGTGTAAATGGACTAAGCATTGATTCATTAATAGCCTTTTTTGCAGCAAAATAAATTAACCTTAAATATTTTTTAAAACAAAAATTAATTTGACCTTGTATACATTTTCCGCGTCAATATTGCAACTTTTCAGGGATTTTCCCCTTTTTTCTTTTTCTTTTTTTTTTTTTTTTTCTCAGTATTAACACTTATCGTTTTTGAACTTCTCTTTTTTTCTAATTGGCGTACCTCCTGCTTTGAGAGCACATTTGTAGATCATGCCGGCTACCCACCACCTTTTTTTTTTCAGCTAGGTTCATGACAGTAAAAAAGTCACTTTCAACTACCAAAGCCTATGTTTGAAAACGCCTTCAGAGCGTTGTTTGTCGTTAGCGATAACTAAACGTCAAGCAGGCCACATGTAGTAATCTCAAACGTGTGTATACAAACACACGTGGTCTCGTGTAATCTGAAAGACACGCTGATTGATAAGCGTGCAAAATAAAGTGATACGCGCATGCAAACACATTCAGCGACCATTCTGAGATGCCCATGGTTTTTATAATCGTTCAGCGAAGCGAACGCGCTCATATGAACGCTGACTCACGTGCCTCGACTAATTCCTCCGTGAGCAAAAAAAAAAAGTACATGCACATTACGAGATATAAGAAGAATATCAGTAAAAGAAAACGCATCAATACACATTCACGGACAGAGCAAAAATAAAATACCTACGCCACTTTCTCTCACCCGTTTCTCTGTTTACATGCGAGGCGTTGCTGGAAAGTTCTCGGCCAAACCAAGAAGCTCTTAGAAAAGTATATCTCTGGTCTTTCAACGCGTTACTAAAAGAGGTTGTTGCATGTGAGTAGGAATGAGAAAATGGAAATAAGTGCAGACGATACGAATACAGACGATAAGTAACCGTTGACCCTTGAATTGAACGGGTCAAAACTATGCATTTGTTCAGATTTCGTAAAAGTCTTTCGGGTCGAGAACTTTTCTTCATCGATCATACCTGCAAGCGAAATTTCTTTTTCATTTTCTCATACATACGCACATACATGCACATATATATTATATGCATATATTATATATTTATTAGATATTATATTTCATATATATATATATATATATATATATATATATATATATATATATATATATATATATATATGACGTAACGCTAGATCATTTCAAACGTCCAGCTTCCCAAAGAATACAAAGATGCAGACAAAAGAATTCTAATTAGCTCACAGAGACCAGTTTCTTGATAATGACTGCGAAAATCAAAGTACCTGAACAAAAAATAACAAAATATGAAGTTTCGCCTACAATAACTTAACTGAAAATTGGAAAGATACAATAAAATTTAAACAGACATTGACGGTTCTTTTTAATAAAACTTGTTTAAATATATATATATATATATATATATATATATATATATATATATATATATATATATATATAGTAAAAAATATAGTTTTGCGGGTAAAAGTGCTCAGTATCAGAGATAGAGAGTATGTAAATATAAAAGTGGAAAAATATATATATATATATATATATATATATATATATATATATATATATATATATATATATATATATATATATATATATATATATATATAAGTGGATACTGATAAGTCGTAACAGTCTGTTCCCATAACTGAATGCAATCTTCAGACCATGAAGATTCCGTTCAAGCATGAAACAGACCGTCGCCACTTAGTGTTGACCTCAGTATCCACTTATATATATATATATATATATATATATATATATGTGTGTGTGTGTGTGTGTGTGTGTGTGTGTGTGTGTGTGTGTGTGTGTGTGTGTGTGTGTAGAGAGAGAGGAGGGGGAAGAGTGAGAGAGTACAGGTAATACATCCGTTAGTATATAATCCAGGTGGATCCTAGTAATATCAGATATTAAAACTGATCCACAGAGAGCTCAATGTATTTATTATAACAGAGCAAAGGATCTAAATATCACCTCATATTTCATATATATATATATATATATATATATATATATATATATATATATATATAGATAGATAGATAGATAGATGAATAATAGATAGATAGATAGATAATAAGGGGACTATACGAAATACCTTACATTGATGGCACTATATATATATGTGTGTGTCTGTGTGTTTGTTTGCAAACCCAAATAGACATATCTATATACATATAATATATACACACACGCATAGAACACAACAATTGAGTACATAGCTTATTCTCTCTCCAAATTTTGTACTTTCTTCATTCATTTTCTTTTCTTTTTCCACCCTTTATTTAGGCACACATCGCTTTCTCTTCGCCCTTTCCATTTCTCTCTTTCTTTTTTCTTTTTTTTTTTTTTTTTCGTTTACATTGCGGGAATATGAAACAAAGTTGGAACGTACAAAAGAGAAAATACTGGAGAGAGTGTGAGAGGGAGAAGGAGGGAGAGAGGGAGAGCGAGAAAGAATGCGAGGAAAGTTTAGGACAATGCTTAGGGGACAGAATTCGAGTATCCGGGGTGGTGATGGTTATGCAACCTATCTAATCGTACAACGCATTGGCTTCATTCAGCGGCAAAGAACACACTTATTGCCAATAAATTTTTTCTTTCGGCAATCACGAATTCCTTCCACACCGACGCAGCTAACTTTATTCGCTTCTCGTTATTATTGACCCTAACTTTTTTCTCCTTCTACTCATATCTATCTATCTATCTATCTATCTATCTATCTATCTATCTATCTATCTCAGTCTGTCGGTCTGTCTATCTATCTATCTATCTATCTATCTATCTATCTATCTATCTATCTATCTATCTATCTATCTATCTATCTATCTATTTCAGTCTGTTGGTCTGTCTGTCTATCTATCTATCTATCGATCGATCTATTCTTTATCTATCTATCTATCTATTCTTTATCTATCTATCTATTCTTTATCTATCTATCTATCTATCTATCTATCTATCTATCTCTCTCTTCTCTCTTCTCTCTCTCTCTCTCTGTCTCTCTCTCTCTCTCTCTGTCTCAGTCTGTCTGTCTGTCTCTTGCTCTCTCTCTCTCTCTCTCTCTCTCTATATATATATATATATATATATATATATATTACCTACAGAGAAATCCCAAATTATCTCATGAGGTAAATTTGGATGTCCCTGCTGTGTAATATATATGTTCTGTTATACTAAATACATTGAGTTATCTTTGGGGATCAGTTTTAATATTTTATATTATTAAGACCCACTTGGATTATATACCAACGTATTTTTGTACCTGTAATATATATATATATATATAATGCATACATGCATATATATATATATATATATATATATATATATATATATATGTATATATCTTACATCCTAACATCTATCTTTTCCAGGCTCTCCTTCTCTCTTTCTGCCTATCTGTCTTTCACACTGATCATATCTTTTACAGATAGTACACCCTCCTTACCTTTATATCTTTTAGCCATCTATCTATCAGTCGATCGAACTATCAAAGTCTGTTCATCTATCTTTTCCAATTAGCTTTCTCTCAATATCTATCTATCTATCTATCTATCTATCTATCTATCTATCTATCTATCTATCTAATTCTGTTAATATCTATTTATCTATCATAGTTTATTCATCTCAATATGTTTCAAAGCGTTTTCTCTCAGTCTCTCTTCGTCTTAGTATCATTATTCCTCTCTCTCTTCCATCTCTCACTTTCTTAGTCTCTTCTGCTCTCTCTCTCTCTTTCTCTCTCTCTCTCTCTCTCTCTCTCTCTATCTATCTATCTATCTATTTTCTCCTCTAATATACTAGCATACTCGTATCGTATCTTTTCGAACCAGAAAATTTCTATTTCTATTTCTCTTCGTATCTATCTCACTGTTGGCACCCCCTCTCTCTCTCTCTCTCTCTCTCTCTCTCTCTCTCCTGTTTTCTCTTTCTCTATCTCTCTCTTCCTCCACGTCTCTCTGTCTCTGTTTTTTTTTCGTATACTTACATGTACAATAAAGTTTGCATTATGATTGCTTGAGTAATATTGTATCTTTCTTGATCTGTTCCTCTTCTCTCACTTTATTTTTCTCTTTTTCTCTCTCATTCTCATTTAGCCTTTTACCCTGTTTCTTTTCTATAAAGGAAAAAAGTAGGGTTTAGAAAAAGAATTCTTCTTCTTCTTCCTTTTTCTTCTTCTTCTTCTTCTTCTTCTTCTTCTCTTATCAACTAATCTCATGAGATGCGTGGCACAAGTCACAACTGAAAGAAAAACTAAAAGGGTGGACAAGAAAACGCGGGTAGGGGACCAGGACAGGAGAAAGTTGCAAGTGAGATGTTTAACAATCAAAAATCGAAAAAGGGGCGGAGCTCTGACGACAGCACCGGCAACGACAACGGTAGTGGCATGTGTACACGGGCCAATTTCCCACCCCACTTTGCCCCACACTCTATTGTGTTTTGATCGACAGAACTACTTCTTTGCTTACAGCTTCTTACACACACACACACACACACTTTCTCTTTCTCCCTCTCTTTCTCTCCTACCTGCGCGCTTCTTTACGCACGCGATTGCGCGAAAAGGGCGTAGTGAGAATGTACTTTCATGCATGTACCCTCATTTTTTTTTTCTTCCATAGCCTCTCTCTCTCTCTCTCTTCACTCACCCTCTCCTCCCTCTCTTTCTCCATATATATATATATATATATATATATATATATATATATATATATATATATATATACAAAACACACATACATATATATGCAATTTTCTTTCTTTCTCTCAACTTCTCTGTCATTGTCATGCTTTCAAAAAAAAAAAAAAGAAAGAAAGAGAGAGAGAGAAAAAGATCAGAAGGCGGAACTTTCATATAGACGTTCATAACATGGACTTGGAAACGGGGGTGTCGCCAAATTGTTTCGCTCGTGGGAAGAAGGTTGGCAGATGTCAACCAGCTTCAAATTTGTCTCCGCTTCCTTCACAATGTTTATACATTCGAGGGGACGTCAAATTCCCAGTTTCGATCCGTCTCCTGAATGCTCTTTTTGGGGCGGGAAAAACCGGAAGAGGAAATCAAAAGAGAAGAAGAACGTGAAAAAGAGAAGAAAAAGAAAAGAAAAGAACTAAATAAATACGGTAAGACAAAGAGTTATCTAATTTCCCAAACACCTTCCCTCTCTCTCTCTCTCTCTCTCTCTCTCTCTCTATCTATCTATCTATCTATCTATCTATCTATCTCCATCTATTTATCTATCTCTCAAACTCGGCCGCAAACATTGTCAAAAGTTCGATACCTAAATAGATGCTTATGTCGACTAAGGACAAACATTACCAAACTGTACACATACACGCAAGTGGATTATCTCTTGCGATGGTGAATTAACTACGTAAGAGAAAACATTGGTGGTGACGACAGAAACTGGACCTTTTACGGATACCATAACACCTGAACCAGCTGGTGTGCATGTATATATGTGTAGGTACGTAACGCTACCTATACCGTAACATCTCCCTCCTCTTGCCTCTTCTTCTTGCTTCCTTCTCTTTACGGCGCATAAAGGGCTACTTGTGCTGCTACGCCTGCCGCTTCTTTCACTGCTGCTGCTATTAGTGCTGCTGCTGCTGCTTCTAGTTATTTGTCAGAACGCTTTTGCCGAGAGCAGCCACTGTTCCCGCTTGATGTTTTCAAGACTGGCCGTTTAAGAATCAAGGCAGAGAAAGAAAAAGATTTCTAAGATTTTTTTTTACACCTTGCGCTACGACAACCATTAGCACGGTCATATTTTTTGGAAGGTGGAAAAAATTAATATTTAAAAAAAAAAAAAAAAAAAAAAAAAAAAAAGGAAAACAAAAATTGAACTGAAATGTTCAAATTCGCTTTTAATCAATATTGACATGTTTTTGCCTGAACCCCTTGTACAAGTTTTGGTTTGTACAAGACAAAAAAAAGAAAAGAAAAGAACGGGCAAAGGTGTAAAAACATCAAAGTTACATCATTGACAATATCAAATGATTCAGCAAAGAGGGAACTATATATATTTTCGATTTAATTTGTTAATCATTACTTCATTTTAACTTTAGTTAAGCTGAAGTGCATATAGATAGATAGATAGATAGATAGACATAGAAAATATTCCAAAACACTTGCATTTCACTTCTTTTTTTTTTCTTTTTGACCTGATAAATTTTAACTTACCTTTAATTACTTTACAACATCAAACTTAAATATTTCCTCGTTTCTTTTTTATCAATTTGTTTATAAAAAATTAAACGTCCATGGCCTCTGCACTGGATACTGGCACAACAAAATTAAAACGTATATACACCAGACAAATAAGTAAAGATCCTGCCCAGTGTCATCAAGAGGACTTGCGAATATTAACTCACATGAATACGATACACAAACTTATGTAGGGAACTGAATTGCAAAGATCTCTGCCCGCATGTGAGGACTTGTATAGTTATAAATAGGTAAATATTTATATGCACATACATACACACGTATGTGCATATACACGCGCGTGTGTAGGTGTTCGGGTGCCTTGCCACTCACGACCACACGTTTTCTAACTGGTTCTGATGACATTCTACACCTAAACATGATTTTGACGAAGTCGTTCTAAAAAGGCGGTTTATGGAGGAAATTAAACAGTAATTATTCACAGGAGATTAAAAGAGGAGAATGCATATGGATCAGCAAAAAGGAAGACTATCATTTTGAATTGCTAACAAACAGTGGGCAATACTGAAACGACATTTACAACCAAAAAAAAAAAGTGTGAAAATAAAACGAAACAAAACAAAAAAAAAACTGCTTTAAAATACGAAACAAAAGGAGCAACTTCAAAAAGTTTCGAAACAAATTAAAACAAGAAAATTTTTGAATCTTTAAAGAAAATTGGCTGCAATTTCTTTTGCTATTTTTTATAAAGTAAAGTCACGTAGCCACATATTGTACGTCAATATTTTAAAAGATTATAATTTGAATTTGAAAAAAAAAGGGATTCCAAGCTGACAATATCAACACCAATAACAACAATAACAATAACAAAAATAACAATAATAATAACAACAACAACAACAACAACAACAATAATGAAGTTTGAAATAACTAAATAAGGTAAAGTGGCTATCCAAGACAGTCAACGTTTCGGCCACTTAATCAGCAAGCAACGTAAACAAACTCTCCAGTCAATTTTGAAAGACGAACATTTTATCAAAATAATACAAGTGTATAATTTTATTATTATTATTATTATTATTATTATTATTATTATTATTACTTTTTCATAAAAAGTCTTAAATATTTCTAGATAAATTTCACAAAATCACTATCAAGAAATAATAATAATAATAATAATAATAATAATAATAATAATAATAATAATGATGATGATGACGATGATGAAAACCTCAAAAGTTATCCTATAAGAAGTGGACGGCTTTGCATCGTAACCTAACAATTAAATGTATAATTTTTTAAATTCCTGGTCAAACGTCAGTTATAAATTCCAAACCATTATTTTTTGCTGAAATGAAACAAAAAAAAACTTATGTTTACGTAAAATTAACAATAAAGAAATTACAGTAAAACAATTAATGAAATAAATAAATCTAACAAACTAAATCAAATGAAAGCGTTTCCTTCATCAATAAATATCTTCCAAGTTCGATTTTGGGGGAAAAAATTTATGATCAGAAAAGATTTACGGATAAATCTTACAGAAGTATCTTCTTAAAAAGAATGCCATAAGAAATAAAAGTGTGAAATTTAAAAGACATTTGAAGAAAAAAAAAACTTCGTACAACAATTTGCAATCTGTAAAGGAACGCAAAAAGGAGGTACATTGCACACAGGCCATTTAAGAAACTTATTTATTTTAACTCACATCCATTTTATAACACAAAATTGAAAACAAAAACATCAAAAATTACAGAGAGCAGTACTTTTTCGTAAGAACGCGAATCCCAGATTTAAAAAAAAAAAAGAAAAAAGAAGAAGCAATTTCTCACTAAAAGAAAACTGGAAAAGAAATGGGATAAAGTAACAAAGAAATTCTGAGGTTTGCTAACGGGACATTCGGTTCCTGTTAGTAACAAAAGTTGTATCAAATTTCAAAGATTTGATCTTTCAAAAAAGGGGGAAAGAAATTTTGAAACCAGTGAAACTAAAATTGAAATTTCAAAGAAAACTTTACAGCGAAATTCCTACAAAGAAGAAGAAAAACAAAACAAAAAAAAACGTTTAAAATTTCGTAGGGCAAAGGATATGACCAAACGTCTATCTTTGACAACACATTCAAGGATCAACGGAAAAACCAACAGTCGAAACTGAGCAAAAAAATGCACCAAAAAAAACTGTTGGTATATAATGATATACCTATATTAAAAAAAATGTAACTGCACCTATGTAAAAAGAGTATAATTATACCTATAGAAAAGAAAACATAACTGCATCTTTCTGGGAAAAAAGTATACCTATGTAAAAAAAGATAACTGTACCTATATGAAAAAGAAACGGTATAAGTATATCTATATGAAAGAAAGCATAACTGAACCTATATGAAAACAATTATCACTATACTTACATAAAAGAATTCAAATGCACCTATATGAAAAAAAATAACGGTATAACTATACTTGTAAAAAAGGAAGCGTGACTATACAACGTGAAAGAATATAAGCCCAGTAAATAAAGAGAAAGTTACCGAAAGGCAAAAATACTTTAAAAGCAAAGAAAAACAATGACGTATTGTTAGTCCATTGGCTTGTTTACAAAAACATTGGCCAATCAATCACGAGATATAAATCCTTTTTTTTTTAAGTGCCTTTTTACGGTATAAACAAAACTAATCAATGGAAAGTTAAACAAGTAAGGAAATTACAAGAGAAAAGAGACGTTGTGAAATTATTTATGAAAACATCCTGGACCATTTAATGTTCATATTCAAATACTGACAGAATAATTTCCACGATCTTGAGTTTTACTAATATCCATAAAAAAGAAAAAAAAAACTTTATTCCCTTCGAGGATAACACGAGAAAAGTTAAAAGTGAAAGTGAAAATAAATAAAGTGATGAAAGACGAGAAGGAGAGAAACAAATAAATGTGTCACGTCTCTATCAGTCTGAAAATATAAACACTTGTATGATTTCTGCTTTCAAGTTGAAAGCACAAATTATGAACGCTTTTACTATATAGCTCAGAAAAGCAATTGACTAAAGTAACAAGCAAATTAAAAAAAAAAGGGGGTAAAAAAGGGAAAAAGAAAGATAAAACAACTGAAACGAATGATAATCAAAACAAAGCTTTTTTTATGTTTGGGTTACGTGATTGCCTAAACAAACAAATACAAAACTTTTCATTTCATTTCTTCATTTCTTTCTTGATCGCAGACCCTCGAGTCTTGTTGCTTGTTTGGTTATTTCAACACATCTCTACGAATTTAAACAAGGATACAGTTGCACAATTCGCTGTGAACGAAGCTCCCCAAACCAGCATCAGACTGGGCGCAAGCATATAACACAGACTAACTTCACACGTAAAAAAAAACACACACACATATATATATATATATATATATATATATATATATATATATATATATATATATATATATACATATATATATACAGACAGAGAGAGAGAGAGAGATCTATATAGATATATAGATAGATTGATACATTACGTATAAAATGCGTAATCGGAAGGCACTTGCGGGTACAGCTCAGTGGTAAGGAATCGGACTAAAGGCTGTCAGAACTCGGGGTTTATTCCCAGTGCAAATTTGGTTAACATCGTAACAACTTCACAAAAAGAAGTTGATATTTGACTGTGTACCATAAAAAAAAAAAACTTGTATGGTCAAATAACTATTTTCAAATGTTTTGATATACGTCGGAAATTACCCGTTTCTCTTTAGACCAATAATAATACTAATACTAACGAGGATGATGATGTTTGTGTAAGAAGACAGAGGAAAGTGAAATACGCAAAAATATAAGAGAGAGTATTGTACAGCTCAATACGGTGAGAACGCTTGGAATAACATTTAAAGGAGACCAACTGCCCTTTGGATCCTGCTAAATATTTTATTGAATAGTTACACTTCTACGACGATTGCGAAAAGGATATTTATATGTTTCCCTAACCAGTTGTTTCAGCCGAATTCGGAAAGATCTAATTCAGAGAAAGTTTCTTTGAAAAAATAAATAAATAAATAAATGACTTTAAGCTATTTTACGGAATTTCACAGGTTATTTTGCTGAGGCGTCCATTCCGTAAGACTTGTCTACACGACCTCAATTTGTCCAACTCTTTCATTTTTGACCCATCTGATGCTTGTAAAATCCGAGAAAGAAAAATAACAGTTTTAAAGTAAATCCCTATTCCTAATGCAATAATTAAATCAACATTATATATATACATAATAAGTAATAAATACTGTCTTTATCGTATCGAGACCATTTAAATTGTTTTCGTGGCTTAGTGGTAAGCAGATTGAATAGCTGTTAAGTAATCCTGAGTTCCATCCTGAGAGTAAAAAAAAAAAAAAAAAAAACTTCATCAGCTCAATAAAGCAAAAGTATAGATCACAAACGATAATTTATTAATCATCGACCGTACAAATTTGACATTCTTCCGTTTTTGTTTGTTTTTTTTCGATTTTTTTTTTTTTGTTTGTTTGTTTTTTTTTTTTAAATTAAAAATACATCCGATAACTGATCGGGAGCGGAATAGCAAC